GCTGGCCACTACAAGTCATTGTATAGGCCACATACGCATTCATTACGTCACTACGATTCTGAATGGAAGTCGAGTGCGGGGGCGCATCCCTCAGACGGGATTGATTAACGCCAAAAACTTTATCCTTCATACAGTACACAACCAGAGTACGGCAACAATTTTGACGCGAGAGCTGCTTTTGATGTGAACAGAAGAGTGGGGATGCTGTTACCCTTGCTCAACTCATTCGTGCTGGACATCAACTTTTCTATAGCACTCGCAGGAATTAATTTTTTGGGTAGGCTAGCTACCCCTGGATGGGGACCACCTATCAGAGAATAAACCGGACAAACCTTTTCGTTGATCCAAGGCAAAGTGGCTTTGTGAGATTTTGTGGCTACAATAGCCCTCGTAATACCCGCAACCATACTCATCGGGGAGATTGGCCTGAATTAGATGACTCTGAATTTGATAACTAAAAAATTACCTTTCTCAATGTTGCTGGCTCTTCCATAATATGCTCGTGGGTGCGCTTCGTTGCGCGCGTCCCTCGAAACTAGGTCATACCGCAGCCACCGCATGCGGCAGGTCAGCCCGCAATACTTGACAGATGTCGCAGTTGTCAGTGGGGCATACGATTTGCGCTTGGTCCACGGCATTCAGCTCAAAGAGAAGATAACACGNACAAATGTAAATCATTCGCTCCACTGACACTTGGTGGTACTGTAATGTCATCTCGCGCGTTGCGCCGCGCGCGAAATGGGCGGGGTGACCTAATTTCAGCGGACGCGCGCAACGGACGTCCTCCCCTTGTTGTAGCACCTACAATCACAAGCTACCTGTTCGGCATGGTTTCTCCACCATGGAGGATCCAATTCAGGTCGAGATTTTCGTCACTATCGAGTTCCGAGTCAGAGACGCCGAATGACGAGTCATTTACTGGTGGCGTCGAATACTCGATCAGACCGTCGTATCTTATTCGAGGCAATGACTGACGGTGTAGGCGAGCCTAGAAACAAATTTGAAAGTATTTTGCTCCGGTGTAAGGAAGAGGAGCCTCCACAGAGTTCTCTGAATCGCCGTATAAGTTTGTCTGTCAGTTTGGAGTGAATTCTCCGCTGTAATTCATTGGCCTATTTTAACTATCATATTTCATCTCATCTATTTTCCTCAACTCTTTTTCATCATATATCAATAGTTATTTATGTATTATCAAAAAAGAATTAAGAAAAAAAGATGGGATGAAATGAAATGAAATCATGGTCCTGTTGGTCTCATACTAGGCTTGAGATGCTTAGCTGTTCAACCTTTCTACGGTAAAGAGATGAGGAGATGCATCCCTACGATGTCCTTCGACCATAGCTGCAACATGGTTTTTCATGATTAAACCTCGGAAAGGAATTTTTTTGGAGTTTGAGGCGAAAATATTTTGATTTGTAAGGCAGGAGACTCCTACGGCATAGTTATGTACAGGGGAAATGAGGTCAAAAGTCTCGTATTCCTATTCCGATAAATAAGTAATAAATATATAAATAAATAAATTTTTATCACCTTCAAGAAAAAATCTATCTTCAACGAGTTTTTTAGATTGAACACAACGCAACAGACATACCATTACGGCACTAGTGAGTCCTTTGGCGCCATGCCGTGTTTCGGCTTCTCTGACAGTTCGCAGAAGGGTGTCCATTTTGCCGTTCATCAGATAGCCAACGACGGAAAGCTGCTCGAATGCGGCCAGTCTGTGAAGTAAGTCATTTTGTTAGAACACGAGATGAGTCTTTAAGAGTAACAGTCTACCGCTTTTTTTATTGGGTACCGTTGAAGGGATGAGTGCTCATGTCTACTTGCACAAGCAAATCATTCAATGCAGGTGTTCACCCTTCGCGAGGACCTGATCCCCCAGCACAAAAGCCATTTACTTTGATAAAAGTTTATCCACCGGCCGCTTCTCATACCTGACCTTCATAGTTGGGCTTACGATCAAGGGTAAAGTAGTTTTCGGCTGTAGACAAGCTCGCTCGAGATTGCGCCCACGCTTTCATCCTCCACTAGGAATCGCAGTTATGTTTGAATGATCTGCGGCCTGGCCAAATGTAGAAATAAATGATTCTATAATACTAGCCCAACAAGTAGGTACCAATTATCCAACCCAGGAGGCATGGAAGGATTTATTTGTCTATAAGGGTGCTAAACCAGGCACTCGTCCAGACGGACTTATGGGTTTTGTTGGTAACCGTCGCAGAGGCAGTGCTTTTTTGTGTCGATCTTATACTCTGGATATTTTGCATTCTTAATGTATGGGAACTTACCGAACCCTCCTTTTGGGATCGAGTAACAGTGGAATGAGCATGTTGAGGACAGCGATGAAGTTGATTTTTGATGACGAAGTAGTCATTAAGGCAGACGTCAAGATGTTGACTACCTGAAAGCGTCTGGAGAATTCATGATTGGCTACGTAGGTAATATTTAATTGAGGAGATAGGAACCCTGAATGTTCAGAACTTTTTGAGAAAAGGGGAGTTAAGTTCCACAAAAACCATTTTAGGTGCTAAGGTTGGCATGCCAGCTCATTCAGTCATCACTGTGAAAACCCTAATCCATAGTTTTGGTCATTGCCATCTTTCTCATGGTCTCCAAACGTAAAATGTGTTAGGTAAAGCCAGGTTCTTACAATTACCGACCGTAGAACATACAGCATTA